TACAATTATATACAGATAGATTCAGGTATGGGCAAAAGCCTCTTGCCTCCCCCCACCCCAGCAACTCCCACAGCACTTCCCTGAACTGGGAAGAGTCCCGAGGAATCCCGAAGCTGCTGCTGGAGAAAGCAGAGAGTTATGGGGGTCAGGAGATCTCGAGCCTAAGGGTCGACGGTGATGGATGAACAGAGTCCTCCCTGGACACCGGCCGTGGACGGAAGAGAAGGGGAGAAGAAGAAGGAAGGAAGTTGTCTTCTGTGATCTCTGACCTTCCTTTTAGCTTACGTGGATATATGGAATGGAATATCTTTGGCCAATTTTGCTGTCCATCTAACTCAGCCTCCTCCGAGGGGGTCACAAATCTCCCCATAGTGTCTGAGCCGGCAGAGTGCAGGTGCAGCCTTGAAGCCTCAGTAGTTAGAAAAACATTCCACTGTCTTATCAGCCTAGCAGAACACACTGTTGCTGGTTACAAGAAAGCTTACTGAAGGAAAAAAAAATCAGTAAAAAGAAAAATTGGCTTCATCCTGGCTCAAACCAGGACATGAGGGGAAATGGTTTCAAATTGAAGAGTAGATTTTAGGAAGGAGTTCTTTACTTGGAGGGTGGTGAGACGCTGAGACAGGTTGCACAGAGAAGTTGTGGATGCCCCCTGTCTTGAAGTGTTCAAAGCCAGGCTGGATAGGACGTCAAGCAACCTGGTCTAGTGGGAGATGTCCCTGCCCATGGCAGAGGGTTGGAACTAGATGATCTTTAAGGTCCCTTCCAACAGAAACCATTCTATGATTCTATGATATTGGAGTGCATATGTCACTGGGGATCTCCATAGAGAAGTTTTCTGTACAGCTCTTTTTTTTTTTTTTTTTTTTTTTTTTTCCTCAGAGGACAAGAAAGAGGTACTTTGTTCAATTTGTTGCACTTCTCAGGGTTATATGCTAGCCTATATTCCCAAGACAAGGTTATTTTATTGATTTTGTACTGAGATAAAATAGCTGTGGAGGTTATTTTCTTTTTTTTACCTGAAACATACATTAATCACAGTCAAATTTACTTTCTTGAAAAATAAAAATCATAAATTGCCTTAAGGATATATGTTTCCACCAAAGTTGATTCTGGCTTTATTCTTTAATGCATACAGAAAATCTCTAAATACCCCATTCCTGTAAAGCACTCACTCAAACCATAATTACACAAGTAACTCTCCCACCCTTGGGATACTGGAGTGGAACATACTGTTGGATTTTGGTATGAAAACAGGGATTCTGCAACTTTTCATCCCACTGATCAGATGCCTTCTCTGTCAACTGCACCTTCAGGTTCAAAGATGCAACCCAAATAGTGAAATACCGATCAATGTATTAAAAATAAGTCTAAGGGCCTGTTTTTAATTCTGTTAGTAAAATTTTCTGCAAATCAGAGAGAGCTGAGCAAGTGCAAGTATTAAACACAGATATCATGCTTTGCTTTTTTCCTGAGAAATACAGCGTTACTCTATCAGAATGAAGAATTACTCAGTATAAATCACCTCAGTTTACTTCAGTGAAATAGTTCAAGTTTTATAACACTGTGAAAAAAAATATATATATGTAGCCTTAATAGAATTCTGATAAAAAGTAATATAAAACTGTAAGATAAAATACTATACTGCTGCTAGTTAATGTGATTATACTTTTTGATAGGAATCTTAAATTCTGGGCTGAAAGATAAACTTTTGTTAGTAGGACTTGATGTATGTGCTGAATGTTGAAAGCATCTGGAAATCACTTCCTTTAAAAGCAGGCTTATCTCCCCTCTGAGGAAAAGACTTTGGCTTTGGTTATCGGTAGAGACAAATCTGAAGCTGAGTGACAGTGTAAGATATCAGTGGAAATTTCCCACTTCTTTGTCCAGTTGCCATTCATTTTAATTTAGCAACAACAACAGCAGCAATAATAATAATAATCAGTAGCAGCAACAGCAGCAGCAGCAGGAGCAATCAGCACCTATAACTCCGACAATAAGCCATGGAGCTTCCCAGTCCTAAGCTTATTTTCATCTGCTGCTGTTTTCCTTTCTGATACTCAGATTCTGTCACTAAATGCTTTCTCATGTACTCTTATGTCTTCAGTGAAAAGAAGGCAATAATGCATGTATGTCTAGGGGGAGAATCTGTCTGTGGGGCATGCACTGGCTGATCTGATATGGAAAAATGGCTGGTACAGCACACTGTCTTCTTGCAAATGCCTGGTGGGACATGTCAGTGACACGTGACAGCAGCTATGAACAGCAAAGTATCCTGAGAACACAGAAACAGAAGGGAAGGCCATGGGGGAAACTCTTTGCCGAAGTCCTCTCCAAATTCTCTGCACTGATCTCGTGAGACACAAACTGTGGGAGAAACTCACGGAAATATTTCTGAAGAAATTGCTTGAGAAATGCAGCACAACATCAAGCAATTCCCATTTACCTAGTGCTATTGCTGGACACCTTATTTGATTTGTGAGTAATCCTAGATCTCCCTGAAGCTGGTTGACATGCCAGCTGCTCATCTCTCTTGCAAATGAGAATATCCCGTATTCATATTCTCTGGGAAAGTTGTGGGATAGCAAGGCCTGATGGTAGCTGGGCTGAACAATAAGTATTAGGGGGGTGAAGGGTGATTTGTTGCTGAGTAGCTAAGCAATTTGAAGATGATGGTGGATGAAGCGTGAAGTGAAAAGGATAAAAAGTATTAGGAGTACACATTAAAAGGTGCAGAGAGGCAAAAGCCTTAGGAAGAGAACAAGCCAGAAAGAGTTTCTTGGCAGGGGGAGAATGGTTGAAAGTAACTTTGGGGACTGTGAGCAAAGAGATGTCCTGCTTGTGCCTGGGGACAGGACTCTTGGTGCTGCAGACCCCCACCCACTGAAGTGCTTTTTCCTGGAGAAAGCTGCTCATGTTTGTGGACAGGCATGGCAGCTTCTCTCTCCTGCTTCATTGGCTTTGGTGCTGGGTGCAGCTTGGTGGGGGACTGCAGCTCATTCCAGTAGGGAGACTGAGGTATTGCTTTGAGCAGGGTCTGTGGCTAGGCTGGGGTGCTTCTGCTTTGAGCAGGGTCTGTGGCTAGCAGTAGCCACTTGCTGGGGAGCAGGAAGAAACTCAGGGAAGAGTGACAGAGTGGTGTGGAGGATCTGGATCCCAGAGGCAGGCATGAGCTTTGTATGCTGGTGTGCAGCAAAGGAGCAATATCAGTTTAGAGCAAACACTGGAATTGGGGAGGTGGAAAGGGTTGGACAAGTGAGGCTGAGGACGTGTTTCATGGACTAGGAGGGTGTGGGGATGTACTCAGGAATTGTTTGACAGAAACTTTATTTTTCAAAACCAAATTTACAGGAACTACTATGAATAACAATTGTTTTCCTAAAGGATGCTGCCTCCTGTTTTTAGTACAAGGGCTAAGACATGCTTTTGTGATTTTCTCATTTTGCTCCTATGACCTCTTACTGTCTCTGTTGATTTCCAAGACAAGTCTGAGGGATCCCTCTGCAGTAAATCAGCACCTCCTGCTGTGTCAGCACTACTTCTACTAAGGGCTTGGTGGGTTATGAGGTGAAATATTTATATTGTCGCAGAGCACCGGAATATGCAGTAGTGAATAATTTATTTTGTTGACATTTTATTTTTGCAGAATAAACATTCACACTAACATCTAGAGAGCCTAGATTATAAATGGCAAACATAAACATTCATTTAAGTATATATTTAAAGAGTGTGATTACATGAGATCATATCTTTCTAATATACAGCTTAAGTGCATTGACATTAAAGAAAATATTAAAAACAGGACACAATACAAGTGAAGGTTTACTGAGTATCACAGGGTCCAAGTAAGGAAAGCAGGGCATTCACTTTGCAGATGATAAAGAGATGAGCCATTTGGTTTGGTAGTTATCAGCTCTATGTCACAGTTTCCTACATTTGAAGTTCCTGTTCTCTGGGCTGGTAGAGAGCAGGTGGGTGTGATGTTCAAGTGAATGCACACAATGAGGAGATACACCAGCACCACTCCACTTCAGCCCTCTCCCTTCTTACTCATGCAGCAGTACTGAGTGTCATCTTGGGTAAGACTGCATTTTCTCTGTCCAGGGAATTGCAACTGCATAACTATCTAAACAACAACCAAAGAGAGAGGAGAACAATGCATCTGTTGGCTTGGTAAGGTTTTGCTGGTTACAGCTTCCCCTGCTGAAAACAACTCTCACTGCAGTACAACAATAAGGAAAGAAGCTATTAACAAAACTTTGTTTCTGAAGCTTTTCCTTCGGAAACAGAGATTGCAAGTACTGCAATATCAGAAACTTTAAACTAGTGTTGTGAAAAAAAACCCTTAGTCTTTCCCAGGAGACTTCTTCCTATCTGTTTGGTCGTTTCTATTATCCCTTTGAAGTGCTATAGCTGGTAGCTGTATTTCTGTGCATGCCATGTGGGTTAGATAGGAAAAAATTTTCAACACAGTGATGAGTCACCTCAAAAGAAGAATAATGATTTGCCTTTAAAAGAAGCAGACTTATATAACTCTGGGTTTGGGAATAAGACTCATCCTTCATTCACTTTATGAGTGAATAGGTAGGGCTGAATACTGACTATACCAGGGTATGTCTTCTTGCCTTCTGTACTTTTAGTCCTATATCCCCTGTTTTACAAGTCCTACATAATTGTTCTAGGACAAGGAAAAACCATAGACAGAGAATTTGAAGGAGGCATTATTTTCAGCCTTATGGTATCATAGGGAAAGCAACAACAGAGCAAAATTAATCTCTCCTTTTAACTCACATTGATTTTCAGAATTTTAAAGTTTACACAAAAGACCTCCCTGTGGATCTTTTTCATGGTTCTGCTGTGGATCCTGTTTCCATGTATACACAAGTTTTCTCCTTTCTTTCATATGTGCAATATAGGTTTAATGTTTTGTCTCAACTCACTTTGGTCTTGCACTCTTTTTCTTTTTTTTTCTTTCGTTCTTTTTTCTTTTTCATTGGAGATTATGTTTGGCTGGTGATGTTGCTGACTGATGCCCATTCTGGAAAAGTATTCAGCTGGAAGAGTCTAATTCCCCAAGTGTTGATGGCCACCATGACAACAGCCAGGCCAATCAGGTTTACACCCAGGCCAGCTTTCACCTACAAAAACAAGATGCATCAGAGCACAATCAATGACAAATTGAGCAGAAAGAGATAACATGGGAAAAGGAAAGAAGAGGTGTGTATGTATATGTATGCATGCGTGCTGTCATATATAGTGTGATAAGTTATGTATACTGATTGCTACAGCCAAAAAAAGTACAATGAATATTATGTATAAAACTATGTTGTGGGAGTTTGAGGAGTGATAGTTAGAGGCTGATGCAGGTCATTGGAGAACTGCTCAGTTTGTCATCTGAACTTCCCAATCAGATCATCAGAATTGGAGGTTATACCACACATTGAAGGGTGGTAACTACATGACTTTATGTGGAGCTTGGCGATAAATTTAATGTCTCATTCTCTCCTGTGCTTGTCTTAATGGGTCAATGCAAAGGATTGTGTACTCCTGTTCTTTGGCACCTCTTTAGACCATTGCATTCATAAAAAATAAAGATGAGAAATGTGATTATCCAGCAGATGTGTGAATGTTCTCAAGCTGACAGCTGGATCACGTAACAGAAATGCAGACTGATATGACTTTAAATTATCATTATTATTATTATTATTGTTATTATTATTATTATTATTACTATTATTAGCTGCTGGATGTGTGAACAAGATGTTGAAGTTGCATGAAGTGTGGGAGGATATATCTGATCTCTAGACTCACCATATCTTTCATTCTCTCCTGTGCTTGTCTTAATGGGTCAATGCAAAGGATTGTGTACTCCTGTTCTTTGGCACCTCTTTAGACCATTGCATTCATAAAAAATAAAGATGAGAAATGTGATTATCCAGCAGATGTGTGAATGTTCTCAAGCTGACAGCTGGATCACGTAACAGAAATGCAGACTGATATGACTTTAAATTATCATTATTATTATTATTATTGTTATTATTATTATTACTATTATTAGCTGCTGGATGTGTGAACAAGCTGTTGAAGTTGCATGAAGTGTGGGAGGATATATCTGATCTCTAGACTCACCATATCTTTTATCTGGCAGTGCCCATAACTGAAGACAATGGCATTTGGAGGATTACCCACTGGCAACATCACCGCAAATGAGATACACATGGTGACAGGAATCAGGGTGTATAAAGGGTTGATGAGCAGGGTTTCTGACTGGAAGGAGAGAGGGAGAGAGGTGGTTTTCTGCTCCAATAAAAGCCACTGCTAACAGTTAGGATGAAAGGACCTTCTCTGCTTTACATGAAGAAAACAAGATTGTGTGAATCTCATCTGCCTAGTTTCTGAACAGTGTGAAGTGTTTTTTGTTTGGTTTGTAGAGTAGGGTAGTGCTATGATTTGGAGCTGGTCGTGCTCCAGGGATCTCTTTTCAGACATTTTGCACTGGAGGAAGGTGAAGATTGCTGCTATTAGGCTGTCTTTGCTCTATCTTTCCACTTGTTCTCTGTGTCATTTTGTGTTGTGTCTTCTGGATCTTAACACTGACTGCCACTTTATTCTTCATCCAAAAGAAGTCACAACACGTTGGCATTAAGAATTTACTTCATTCTGAAGATAGTGAAACCATTATGTAAAATTATTCTGAACTTTGGTTCAGAAAACTAGATGTTCATGGTCCAAACTCTCCTGGTGGTGTCCTGGTTTTGGTTTTTGGTTTAGGATGAGAATAATGTTTATAACACACTGATATTGTTGCTGAGCAGTGTTTACACCAAGTCAAGGACTTTTCAGTTTCTCATACTGCCTTGCCAGTGGGGAGGCTGGGATTACACAAGAAGCTGGGAGGGAAAACAGCTAGGATAGCTGATCCTAACTAGCCAAAGGGTTATTCCACACCATATGATATCATTCTCAACATATAAATCTGAAGAAAGGAGAAGGAAGGGGAGGGATGCTCAGGGTAATGACATTTGTCTTCCCAAGTAACCATTAAGTGTGATGGAATCCTGCTTTCCTGGTGATGGCTAACCACCTGCCTACTGATGGGAAGCAATGAACTAATTTCTTGTTTTGCTTTGCTTACATGCACAGCTTTTGCATTCTCTATTAAACTGTCTCTATTTCAACCCATGAGTTTTTATGACTTTTACCTTTAAAGTTCTCTGCTGAGGTGGTAGGGAATTGATTGAGTGGTTGTGTGGTGCTTAGTTGCCAGACATGGTTAAACCACAGTAGGCAGGAAGACTGTAATGGTGAAATATTCTTTGCAATGGTTTAAAGAATTATTCTTCCACTGCAGCCTTTGGTGGTGGTGAGATTTTGCATTTTTGGTTACATTGCTATGGCCTAGTTTTATGTCAGGGAGAGGGAAGGGAATTCACAAGGCTAAATTTGTTTTGGAGGGAAGCATCTTCAGGTTACTTCTACAGTCAAAAGAGAGAGACTGCCTTAAGATGGCAGTTCAGACTACTAAAACTAGGTTGCTTCTCTAAATTTCTCTTTAGGAGAGTCTCTGCATGGAACAGAGATAAACTTGAACTCACAAGCCACACAAACATAATTACTTTTTTTAATCTGACCATATCTTCATATTATTTCAGAACTCTTCAAATAATGTACTTTGGGACAATCCCATAGAATAGTTATAATAGGCAAATATGACCTGCATTTTGCTTCACGTTACATAAAAGAGAAAGAATAAGAGTTTTCTCTAACTGCTATTCCAATACAGAATAAATTTTGTGTCTTTTTCCACTGCTTTTTTTCACCAGTCTCCTGAATCTTTTTTTTCTGTCCCTTACAAACATCTCTGCTTTCTCTGTTGGATGATAGTACACTCACCAGATCACCCTCTTGAACACATTTTCATCTGATAGAAAATCCACTTCTACAGTCTTTTCTTGCAAGTAGTGAGTAGGTGACTAATAGCTAATGAATAACACATTTAAAGTAACATTGATAAAATGATCCCAAGCTATATGTGGACTTCACCTGTCTTGTTGATTGCATTATCAACTTTTTCTGTATGTAGACTCTGAATCCCCTAGTGCAGGACCTTTTCACTTTTCCTGAGAGGTGTTGAATAATTTTTCGTGGTACTCTAATACATTTTTGTCTGCCCAATTTTATTATTTTTTCCTAAAGCAAAGACTGCAGAACAGTAGCTTGGAAACCAAGGCTGGGTGTCATGCGATCAGAGTGCCAATGTCCTGATGCCTTGAAACTTTCCCACGAGCCTGTCAGGAAACAACAGACTGAAAATGTCATTGTTTTTACTCACCATGCTGCATAAAATAGGCAGAAAGATGGTTATGGTTGCTGGATTACTAACAAACTCTGTTACCAGGGACACCAAAATGCAGGCCAGCAGAGTTACAGCCCAGTAGGGAAGGCTGCTCAGGGAGAGCATTTGACGACCGATCCATGTTGAGAGGCCAGAGGTCTGGGGAAAGGACAGAAGCACCAAAGTGAGTGAACACTTAGCATATTTGTAAAAAACAGGCTCTTCTCTTTGGGGCAATTTCCATAAGAGAACCCCTCCAGCAAATAAAATTTAGATTAATGCTTTCTGCATGTCCTTTTATCCAGTAAACTGGATTTCACTGCAGTGAATAGATGTCCATAGTAACAGAAAGATACTTTTGGCAGTTAATTACATGAAAAAGTCTCCAAGGCTGATCCCTTCTTCTTCAGCATGTGAACTGGAGTATTGCAAATTGGTGATGAAGGATTGCACAGTCTAGGTAGAATTAATTTTGAGATTAAAATACATAAATTTAGTTCTCTACATATAGGAATCTATAGGCAGCAAGATGCGTATTCATGAATTACACTGAATCTAGATACAGTCAGTAGAGCCTAGAGTGTGGTTTGTCCAGGCAGCACCAGCTCAACTCTGTTGGAGGAGGAACAATCCAGTGGCAGCTGAGATGTTCCCCGTGCCTCTGGTTAGCTGTTGAGAAAGTGTGAGGTCTCCCTCAGGTCTTATGTTGTTTCTGACAGCGTTGGAGGAATGTCTTGGTTTAGAAAGCATCTGAAATGGCAGATGCTTGCACAATTGACTTGAGCCCTAACCATCTTTTTATTAGCTAGATAGCTGTCCATTCAGTGCAGGGAGCAGGGGCTACCTTATGTACAAACTTGAAAGTATCCACATTGTATACCCATACTGGGGAGCATGCAAAAGGATAAAAGTCCCATTGTTTTTTTTAATATTATTTTTTTTAGGGAGGAGGATAAAATTTTAATTGGTACCTTGCATCCAGCTGCTAAGGCATAACCTCCTCCAACCAACACTACAATCTCCCAGGGCATAGTTTTCTGGAAGTCCTTCCAGGTAATGATGGGATCCAGTGTGTTAACGTCTGTTGATTTTTCACCATCCCCTGTATCAAAATAAAACAAATATGTGTCCACTATTACACTGGCCTTTTGCAAAGATCTTCACATTTTTTCATGCTAGTAGGAATGATTTAATATCTGTGGGCATTACCTTGAAAACTATATGTGAGAGCGGTGAAGAACACAGCCTGTTTCTCTGGTTAACTTGGCCTCAAAAAGTGCAGCATATTAACACTCCATTGATGTGGATAGTTACAAAACCCTATGTTCATTCTATAGCCTTTTGAGGGACTGTGTACTCTATTTTGTGTACATGTGTGCAAATTATCTGTAGACTATAAAGATGGAGTTACAATAATGGGATTATTTTCTCAAAGAAGGGCATTTTCTCTCTCCAGTAGGCAAAGAAGCTTGAGAAAGTGCATTTATGTCCCTAGGTTTTATCTGAGGACATTATTTTTATAGATGCCTGAGTATTTTGTTGACATAGGAGTTGGAGAATGTATTTTTTTTTTCTAAATGCTGCATATATGTCAGTAGGAAAAATAAACATATCTGTGTACATACCTATGTAATCCCTACATAAAACTCTATACGGACTCTGATTTCATATATGACTGCATGGACAGGGACACTTTCCACTAGACCAGCTTGCTCAAAGACCAAGCCTACAGCCCCCAGTATTCTCAGATTGTCTCCCATACAAGTACTAACTGTGCCTGACCCTGGTTAGCTTCTGAGGTCAGGATAGAATAGATCGAGTGTCATCAGGATGGTGTGGCTGTCAGGGTGGTATGGCCCTTGGCAAGAAAACTGTGAGAGAAGCATTTCTCAAAGCTGGAACTTTAGTCTGATATTAACTGACCTCTTGTATGTTTACTTGACCAATGTTATCTGCTGTATACATGATGATTAAATAATTTACTAGCACTTATCTTCAGCCAATTTTGCAAAATTCTGTGTTGTAGTTCTCTATATGGAACTCCATCCCAACTTTCCTAAAACTCAGTCCCAAATTCTGCTAACTCTGTAAATACAGAAGAGATGGTGACCTCAGATACAAGATCTGTTTGTGATCTGCAGGATGAGACAATATGTATTAACTAGGAGCTTGATGTAGGAAGGGCTGGTATCAGAGAAGAAACTTTATCTTGACTTTCCACAATAAAAATCTTTTCTTGAAAAGTTTTACAGAGAGCTGAAAAGTATCATTAAAGGCACTGGAAATTGTCAGATCTTTTTATTGATGCATCCTTCTCACCTTTTTCCCTTTTTCCAAAACATGGCTTTTTTGCTGGAATGAGGAAAAGGAGAAAACCAAGGAGTACAGAGACAGTGGCATCAGTCCGATAACCTTTCCTAGGAAAAGAACAGTAGGGTTATCATAAAAATACACACACAAAAACATTTTGAAACAAGGTACATGGCTCCAAGTAAATTGTTGTAGGTGAAGTTGTATTTCGACATCTGAAATCTTACTGACAATCCACTAGAATAATATGTCTCCATATCAAGGATACAGATGGGATTTTTTTCCCCCGTTTATTAAACTGACTCCAGTAGCCAACTTCAAACACTGCTCAACAATTTTTAACATTCCAGTGAAAAAAATAAATCAGCTTTGGTTTACAAGTCTGTCAGCTTGGAGGTACAGGAAAAATAGTATGTTTACGAGAAGCAAGAAACAGTAAATACATTCTGGGGAAAGCCAACCCCAAGTGATCTTTTAGAAATGAACTGTAGATTGATTTTAAAATAAATGTTTCAAACTCAGTCTG